CAATTGCACTCCACAAGTTGATTTTGATTTTGTAGTTAAAATTTGACTCTAAAGTCAAAATTAACTTGTGGGGTGCAATTGAAGGGGGTGGGAGGTGTGTTCGGGTCAGGCGAGGTGGAGGCGTTTACTGGGGGGTTAGGAGGGGTAGGAACCGTCAATTTTACGAACGGGGTACCAGAGCGCCCCCGGGTCATCCCGAGAACCTTGCCCCAAAAATTATCTTCTATTTAGTAATCCAAAGGCATGTCCTAACAAACATTTTGTGTTACTGTAATATTAGTATGATGATTTACAATGAGACAAAGGCATGTCCTAACAAACATTTTATACTATTGTAAACTGTTAAAATGTTAGTATATCCCTTTAGGATACAATTTGGGTTACACTTTTAAAGGTAATAATTTTATATGGAGAAAGAATAATAGTCCCTTTGTCCCAAAATGTTTGCCACATTTTCTTTTTCAATAATCACGAAAATTGTTTTTTATTTATACGCTTTCATTGATTATTTGATTAAATAAAATAATTTTGACATCTCTTATTTTAAAGAATTTTTCATGTAATTTTTAAATATGTAAATTTTATTTTTTTATTTCTATACCAATATTTAAATAAAATGAATTAAAAAACTTGATATTTTGCCTCATTTTGTGAAATGTGATAAACATTTAGGGACGGAGGAAGTACTACTAAGGAGCGATAAAGAATCCAGTGAATGAAAACCGAGATGAAAGACTTGATAGAATATAACGAATCACGTAGAATATTTTCAGGTCAAAGTTATTTGTGAACATATAAAAAAATACTCTAATCGAATAAAACATTAATTCAAGAGCAAGCACTAAAAGTCGATGTCTCTACCATACCCACGAATATATCTATAATTTATATTTCTAGAAACAGAAAAAACATGAGTAAAAATGTGCGTTCGCATAAAGAGGCGCTCGCAAGAAGAGTTGCTTGCAAATTTTCGGGCCAATTTTAGACGTATATACATACGTTCAGTTTTTAAGTGTTTTCGACTTTGTTCCTAAATAATTGTCCGGCCAGGGGCTCTGCCTCTTAAACCCCGTCATGGGATGCCGCCCCTTGGACCCCGTTAATTGAATACTCGTGGATTTTGTGAATGCAAAACATTCTTATAACATCTATATTGAATACACCCCATTGAATTGCAGATCTTTTCCAGTTCCTAAAACTTCATCTTATATAAGCTCTTTTCTTTTAGATTAGAAAAATTAATGAGTAAAAAAGAGGAATTATAAGAAACCAAACAAACCCATAGAGACTATATAATTCCTCTTTTTTTTAAAACCAAACAACCGACTTTCATTCACAAGAAACTACATAAGAGATACATCAGGTGGAATATAATGTAGCATTCCTTGCAAGAATCTGAGCAAAATAACATGTTTGCATGTACAAAATTGATGAATTTTAACACCTAATTAAATAAATTTTATATTGGGAATTGATAAAAGACGACGTTTATTCCTAGCGGCCCGTTTGTTTTTAGCTCAGTTGTCCGTATGGAGTATGTACCTAACAACTTGCATGTGGCTTGTTTAACATGATTACTTGTCTAGAAATCCATACCCAACGGCTCGTGGTGCTTTAGGTGTTAGCGCTAAAAAAATCAAGGGGATGAGAATTAATTTGCAAATGGTCAAACGGTTAGATTCAAAATGGTCCGGTCGTCCACTCGAGAGGGAATATTAAAGAGTATCCTACATTGGAAAAGTGCGAGGAAAACAATGGGTATATAAGCTCCTGAGTTAAACTAAGTAATCGATTTGATTAAATCTTTTAAATTGATTCAACCCAGGTGTCTTATAGCTCAATCCAGTTATCTCTATCCAATCCTAAATTCTATCACCTTCCAACTTTTTTCCAGTTTCTTCCAACAGTAACTTAAAAAAATATATTCATATATTATGAATATACAATAACATTATATATCGTAATTCATAACATGCACCTCAAATACAAAGAAGGATGAATTCTTTTTTATATCCAAAATTAGTTTTTTTGAGTGATCATTTAATTGAGTGACACTTTAACAATTCAATTCTTCCAATATTTTTCAATTTCTTCCAATTTTTTACAACTTCTAATTTCTTTAAACTCCTTCAAATTTTTTCTAACATCTAAATTTGAAATTTCAACCCAGAAGAACAAGCCCGTAGAGAATATATAATTCCCTCTTTTTTTAAACCAAACAAACGACTTTCATTCACAAGAAACTAAATAAGAGATACAATCAGGTGGAACGTAGCACTCCTTGCAAGAGTATTAGCAAAACAACACGTTTGCATGTACAAAATAGATAAATTTTAACACCTAATAATTAAATAAATTTTATATTGGGCATTGATAAAAGAATAACTTTTAGATTTTTTTGCTAAAATATTTTCAAATTATTATTTTATCTAATTAAATAACATTATTAGTCAAAAATCAATTACGATTAAGTATAAAAAATCAAAACTGAACAAATAATGTGAGACGGATGAAGTACCTCAAAATGTCTCGTGATGTACTCCATACATTTTTAATTAACACATGGTATAAAGAAGGAATTATAATTCTCTCTAGAAATTAAAATGCCAGGTTCCTCTCCATTTCCCAATAAATTCAGGATTGGATAATACGAGTACGTATTATTACGGAGTATCAAAGAAGTGTCAAGTGATTGACATTTTATACATAAAGTGTCAAAAGATAAAAGTTTATTGTTAAAATTTGTTATAAAATTAGAATGAATATAATAATAATAGTAATAGTAATAATAATAATAATAATAATAATAATAATAATAATAATAATAATAATAATAATAATGTGACTCCCCTATTCTATGCCTAAAAAATAATAAAGTTTAAAAAATACTCCCTCCGTCCCTTAAAGTCGTTCCCTTACTGACTTTTTGGGAAATTAAGGGAGAGATATTTTGGTGTTAACTTTCCAAAAATACCCTTGATGGAATGGGTAAAAGTAAGATGTGATGGATAGATTATTAGTAAAAAGGTATGATGTGATAGGTAGAGTATGAAAAAATAAGGTGGAAAAGTGGTTTTTTAATAAATAAGGAAATAAGTTAGTGGTACAAGAAAAAAAAAGAAAAAAGAAAGAGTTTAAGGGACCGACAGAGTAATCATTATTTTGGGACGAACAAAAATAAAAAATGCAAAATGTTGTGTCAATTGGAGCCATATAAAAGTGTGGGAGAGGAGTTATATGTCCCCATTTCTTGAGGCCCCAAAGTACAATCTTAGATTCTCTTCATCATATAGATCCGGGTACTTTCAATTCGGAAACTTCTTGGACTTCCCTATCCAATCAAACCAATTGGAAGATTAAAAGAAAGTCACTTGTTGTACTTTTTGCTCTAAAGTCTAAATATTTGATGTTAGAATGGAATGTGTATAGAGCTGGCGAATCGGTCGGTCAAGTCGGGTTCGGTCATTTCGAGTTCGAGTTATTTCGAGTTTAGGTCAATTCAGATTCAGGTTGAGAACTGTATGTTCATGACTCAGTGTCATCGGATTCGGGTTGACCCAACGGGTTATGACTTTGGTTTTTTAAATTTTTAAAATCACATTAACAATTACATTTTGTATTAAATAAATTTAAAATATAAAAAATATGCATTAAATCTATTAGATTATTTTATTTTAAATTATGAAGTACTCCGTAATTTTTAGATACATAAATCAATATAAGGAATTTAAAAAATGCTTAAGTTTTAGAAAAAAGTAAGATAATTATGCAATATCATTAAAATTTTGTTTGAAAATATAAATTTATACACTAAAAACGAGTAGTAAAGTGTATGATTGTGAAAAACTCTTACTTTAGCAGATCGGGTTCGGGTTCAGTCGGGTTTGACCCATTTTTAGCGGGTCATTTCAGGTTCGGTCAACTTCGGGTTCGGTCATCAAAACTTTTGTTCAAAACCCAGTGTCTTCAGGTCGGGTTTCGGGGCAAAAATAGGTCGGGTCATTTTTTGGCAGGTCTAAATGTCTAACTTGATCTATGAAATATTTACTCTGTCCCCATATTAAAATTTGATTTTGACTTCACAAATATTTACTCGTGTCGTCATCTCTAGTTTTGTAAAACTTTTGATGTAGTTAATTTTCAAATATATAAATTTAGTTTTTAAATTTTACCCTTATTATAATCAAATAAATTAAAATAAAAATAACTTTGATCAAATCTCGTAAACCAAAATAGAAACATAGATAGTTAGTTTTAGGACGGAGAAAACATGTAAGAAGATAATGAAGATGTGAAAGAAATGGCAGATTAGTAGATAAAATAAACTAGTACCGTAGTTCGTATGATAAAATTGATAAAATATGCTTTTATTGAATAATGAAAACTTCTTCCCTATATTTATGAAATACAAAGAGTATTCTAATACTAGTAGCATAATAATTTTGGTAACACTAGAATAAGAAACGATAGTCATGAATGTGATGATGATAATAATAATAATACCCCGTAATATCTTGTTTCTTATTTTCCTAGCAAGTTGATCGACAGTAACAAAGGACAACTTGGAGTAAAGTCTTGAAATAGAGCTGCCGGAAGCGATTTTGTCAGAATGTTAGTTAACTACTCAGAAGAAAGTTTATGATTAGTAGTCATGTTGCCTGACATGACTTCATCTCGCACAAAATGATAGTCAGGACAAACATGCCCGCTTCATATGATCATGCAAAATTGGATTCCTGGTGGCATGGATTCATTGTCGCAATAGAGCTAAGGTTTTGATCGATGGAGGAATGCCTAGATAATCAGTAATGTACCGTAGCCACATACCCTTGCAACACCCGCAGTCATGGTATGTCCTAAAGTCAACTAAACTTGCACACTTCAATTGACAAGGATTGGGGGTGATCTAAGTTAGAGTTGAGTCTAGATGGGTGGATTTACAAGGGAAGTGGAGGGGTGAGGGATGGAAACTATAAATTTTACGAACGAATTACTATACTATTGATACTCCTCCCAATTAAGATAACGTCTTATGTGACTACTCAAAGTGAGTGGCGATAATATCTCTCCCTCAAAAGAATTGCTTGGCCTCTATATTAGCATGGGATTATGATCACTTTGTCGGTAAGTCACAATTTTTTCCAATTTGGTACAGTACTATTTACTACAGCTATTTGTGGACTTAGAAGCCATCAAATCCTGAATGTTTATTGATGACTTTAACTTCCATTAAATTTCATTTCTTTTTTCTATTTTTGAAAAGAAAACTTCATTCTTTGAACATCAATTCATCAGTCAATTCTAATCTGAAGAAAAATTCCGAAATGAAAGAAAGATAGTCAACTCTTCCCGGAAAGAGAGAGACATAAGCTGGGAAGGTCTTAGTGCCCCCATAATCCATAAGTATCGAACCATTTAGGCAAAATTACTCTAAACTTTTTTGGCATAAATTTTGAGTTTCATACTGCGACATATCATGAAGATATTGGCCGACGAGTTCGGTGTAAAGTCCCCCACGACACCGAGCCCCGACCGAAGGAGCGGTGATTCCGGTCGGGGCAGGGGTCACTAACGCCATACCGACGCCACACCTAATGGCCTAATTTGAAGCGAAAACAGCTCTCATATTTTAGTGGGTCGTATATTCTGAGTTTAAATATTATCCGCTTGGCCTTTTAACAGAAAAAAGATGGTAAGGCTATAAACGGATAATATCCGCGAAAAATATGGCATATCCGAATCCGATTATGTTTGGAAATACCTGTATCGGTATTCGACGAATATTTACATTTCTATATCCAAATCCGTAACTGACGGGTAATTCCCGATTTCGAATATATCGGGATCTGATTACATATCCAAAATCAACCAAATATTGGAATCCAACCGAGTATCAATGTGTTCAAACCTAAAAACAAAAATGTAAGATGGGGGCAAAGGGATTCGAACCCAACACCTTTAACCTTAAAATTTAAAGTCACAGGCATCTGGCGGGTTACACCAAATAATCAATATTTTTAAGCAGTACATAATATATACCCCTTTCATTTTTTTGGTTGTACCCAAAAGATGTTTCCTTATCTATTAAAAAACTACTTTTATCTGTTACTTTTTCATACTTTATCTATCACATCATATGTTTTTACCAATAATCTACACATCACATCTTACTTTTACCCATCACATTAACAATATTTTTGGAAAGTCAATAAATCCTCAAAAAGTTAAGAAGAAAGATGTTTCAGGGACGGAAGAAGTATTTGTTTTTAACATATGTCGTGTTCTAACTTTTTTTAACAAAATTATCTACACCAAACCATAAAACTTTGTATTTTTCTTTAAATAAACATCGTATCATTTATAATTATAGGCATACTATTGTTATGTGATGATATATTATTATATTTAAAAGTAGTTCAAAAAACTTGGTAAATAACACTACAAGGTAATAAAAGTTACAGTTATTGGGCTACTGAAAAGCCCAAAGTAGATACCCTCTTTCTTTGTGGATTATTGGGCTAGTCCAAACATCCATGTGTGCACAATGACCCAAGATACAACGGAATACTTCCCGACAATTAAAGCACCTATATCTTTATTGCCTTCTAACCTAAATTTCCATTGGGCCACGTTAAATGACCCAAAAGGCCTCATCACAAAGATATTCAAATTAAGTGACAATTATAGAAAAAAGAGAAAATTAAAGCAACAACTAACACCCTAAATGACACCAATGTGCAATATGACTCACAAACAAGTATTACTTCCCCGTTCCATAAAAATTTTCAAATACGAAAAACGATGCACCGTAATATATACCCCCTCCATCCCTAAAAACGTAGGAGGAGAGTATTTTGGTATTGACTTTCCAAAAATGTCCTTTGTTATGATGGTAAAAGTAAGATTTGATGAGTGGATTAATAGTAAATAGTTGTAATGTGATAAGTATGTTAAGAATCAGTGGTGTAAAAGTGACTTTTTAATAAAAATGAGAATTTTTTTGGGACGGATTGAAAAGGAGATGAGTAAAGTTTTCAGGGATGGAGGGAGTATAATTTTGGAATTATTTTAAAATTTTATTCTTACTTTGTGTAAGTCGTGTCATTGATAATATCACACTTGGTGTATATTCTTATTTGTAACTAGCTATTTGATAGGATTAATGATAGTTTAACCAAGTATTCAAGCCTAGATTCTACTTGTTTATTCATTTTGAGTCATTTAGCATTTTATTATATGCATTAGGAATTGTAGAGTCACACCATCCTAAATGGTACTCCATCTAACTTCCTACATGATAACTTACGTTGCTTTATTTGTAAAATTGACAATTTCTTTCAAAAGCCCCCCATAAATCCACACCCCCGATCTCGCCTCTTGACGACCCCCTATCGATTACAATTACACCCCATAAGTTTTATTGACTTCATGGGTCAAAATTTTGACTAAAATTTCAACCAACATAAATACACTTGTGAGATAGGAGTTTATGAGAGATAAGAATTGTCAGTTTTTTGACTCTACAGGGGCTGCTCAATCAACTTTTTTTGAACAGATTACGCCGAAGGTTTCGTCAGTGCATAATGATATGCTTCTTAGGCCGTTTGAAGAAGTGGAGGTTCGAAAGGCGCTTTTTGCTATGCATCCAGACACATCACCAGGAACTCACGGGATGAATCCGGGATTTTTTCAAAAGACGTGGGACCTGGTTGGTTCAGAAGTTACGAGATTTGTTCTTTCATGTTTGAATGAGGGAGTTTTCCCAGACAATTTGAATGATGCGACTATTGTTTTAATTCCGAAGGACATTTCTGAGACGGTTGCAGACTTAAGACCCATTGCCTTGTGTAATGTTGTCTACAAAATCATAGCGAAGGTTTTGGCCAATCGTATGAAGTTTATGCTCTCGAATATTATCTCTCATACTCAATCAGCCTTTATACCGGGGCGCTTGATCTCAGATAATATTCTTCTTGCTGCAGAGTTGGGTCACTTTCTTCGTCGTAAGCAAGGGGGAAACACTGGTTGGGTGGGCCTTTGATAGAATTTTAGACGTGGTAAGGATTACAAGATTGAGCAATAAGACACTTGGGTTGAACCGTATTAAAAGATTAAATCCAATCGATTAGTTAGTTCAACTCAAGAGCTTATATACCGATTATTTTCCTCACACTTTTTCGATGTGGGATACTCTTAACACTCTCCCTCAAGTGGACAACCGGGCCATTTTGAATCTAACCGGTTGACCACTTGCAAATGAACTCCCATTCCCTTGAATTTTTTTTAGCGCCAACACCTAAAGGACCACGAGCCGCTGGGTATGGACTTCCAGACGAGCAATCGTGTTAAACAGGCCACAGGCCGTTGGGTACAACCTCCATACGGACAACTGGGCTAAAGACTAACGGGCCGCTAGGAATGAACGTCTAGACGGACACCTTGACAAACGAGGTGGGCTAAAACCTGCTCTGATACCATGATAGAATTTTAGACGTGGTAAGGATTACAGGAGTGGGCAATAAGACACTTGCGTTGAACCGTATTAAAAGATTGAATCCAATCGATTAGTTAGTTCAACTCAAGAGCTTATATACCGATTATTTTCCTCACACTTTTTCGATGTGGGATACTCTTAACAGCCTTAAGTTGGATATGGCTAAAGCGTATGATAGGATGGAGTGACATTTTTTGCAAACTATGATGTTGAGGTTGGGCTTTGATCAGAGATGGGTTAATCTTATTATGCTTTGTGTTACCATTGTTAAATATAAGATTGCGCTGAATGGTGAATTTACGGAACCTATCACCCCGAGCAGAGGGCTCCGTCAAGGCGACCCGCTGAGCCCCTATCTTTTTATTATTTGTGCTGAGGGTCTTTCGTTACTTTTACAGGATGCGGAAAGACGAGGTGCGATTCATGGGATCAGAGTTTGTAGAGGGGCTCCGCCTATCTCTCATTTATTCTTTGCTGACGATAGTCTTGTGCTCTTTAAGGCTTCTCCCGATGAGGCGTGTGCAGTGAGAGATTGTTTGGTTGAGTACGAACGGATCTCAGGGCAGGTTATCAATTTTCATAAATCCAATGCTTGTTTCAGTCTGAATGTCCCCCCTTTGTTGAAGCAATGGGTTACCTCTTTCTTTGGTGTCACCCCAGCCCATAACTTTGGGAAATATTTGGGTCTTCCCTCTTTCTTAGGAAGGGACAAAAGTGGGGTTTTTACTTACATCCTTGACAAGATTCGACATCGTATTGATGGATGGAGTAAAAAAATGCTTTCTAAAGCCGGGAAAGAAATCTTGCTTCAGACTGTTGCACAAGCTATGCCCCAATTTGCTATGAGTGTGTTCCGTCTCCCTTTGTCTGTTTGTGATCGTATTGAGAAGCTAATGAATTCCTTTTGGTGGATGGAAGGTGGGTCTAATGCCTCGGGAATTCATTGGATGTCATGGGATAGGTTGTCTGTTCCTAAAAAGTTTGGGGGTTTGGGCTTCAAAAACATTCATTACTTCAACATTGCCATGCTAGGTAAACAGGGGTGGTGGCTCTTGACCAAACCCGAGACCCTTGTGCCACGGGTTTTCAAAGCTAGATATTTCCCTAACTCTACATTCCTTGAAGCAGGTTTGGGGTCTACTCCAAGTTACTGTTGGCAGAGCATTATGGCAGCCCAAGAGTTGGTTAAAGCGGGGGTACGCAAGCGTATTGGGAATGGGGTCGAAACAATGGTGTGGGGTACTCCGTGGTTGTTGGACCGGGATAACCCGTTTCTTCACACCGTGTTAGCTTCACCAAGTGCTAACTTGCCGGTGAGTTTTTTTATTGATGCGAATAGGGGCTGTTGGAATGTAGAGAGGCTTCAAACTCATCTTGTGCAACGTGACGTGTCTCAGGTGCAGATGATTCCGTGTTGCCCTCGGCGTAAAGATAGTTGGTTTTGGATTGGCAGTGAGGACGGCCTTTACTCAGTGAAGTCGGGGTATCGCAAGATTATGGGGGAGGCTACCCAAACTCCAGGTTTTTCACAATGGAGCCGACTGTGGAGGATTCCAGTAGCTCCCAAAGTAAAGGTTTGTGTTTGGCGTGCACTTCAAGGTATCCTCCCAACTGTTTCGACCTTGAATTCCAAAGGTTTGGAAATTGATAATTGTTGTTCCATTTGTGGCCAGCTGAGTGAAACAGTGGATCATTTGTTTCTTCTTTGCCCGTTTGCAGAATATGTGTGGGAACGCAGTAGCTTCCGGGTGGCTAATCGATCGGCGGCGAGTTCGTTCTCGAACTGGGTTCAGTTGGTGTTTCAGACAGCCACGTCCAGTGAGCTAATCCCCATAGTGTGGACAATCTGGATGATTTGGAAGTGTAGGAATGCAGCCGTATGGGAACAACGGGTGCCAACCCCAGAGGTAACAGTTCGCATGGTGCTGGATTTTTCAAAATGGTGGGAGAATAGTCATAGAGAGGATCCCCCACCTTAACTCCTTCGGAAGAGAGGGTTCCCCCCTGAAGCTGCCCATTGTTTTTTTGATGCTGCTTTATTCCATGCTTCGGGTCTGGTTGGTGCTGGTGGAGTGATTTTCTCTTCTTCTAAGGAATTTCAAGCGGCTTTTGCTCGACGGTTGTGGTGCCCGCAAGATCCGTTGTTGGTAGAAGCTATGGCATGCCGGGAGACTTTGTCGTGGCTCAAAAGTCTTGGAGTCCAGGTTGCTGTTATTTTTTCTAATTGTTTTCGTGTCGTAGAGGCAATTAATGATAGTGGTGTGTTGGATTGTGCTTCTTATTTCGGGTCTTTGATTGATGACTGTAAGGCCCTCATGGCCTCGTTTGAATCTGTTTTGGTTTCTCATGTTCGTAGAAATCTCAATGTGGTAGCGCATACGTTAGCTAGGCGGGTTGAAACTCAGACATGTGATTGGGATTTTGTCCCCCCTGATTTTCTTATGTTTCTTTTGAATTAATGAAAGTTGGTTGTTCTAAAAAAAAGAATTGTCAGTTTTACGAACAGAACAACATATGTTCCCAGTTGAAATAGTGTGACGAAGTTACACCATATCATGCAATTCCAAAGTGATTTTATTTGTTGCATAGTTGCATTGCTTATTGTGTCACAACTATGTGGTCGAGTTACACTGAATATATGATGATAATGATGATGCATATTCATATATGTGAATGCATGTTGTAACTTGTAATAACATCCACTATAATCTAACACACTTAATTGACAAATTAAACAAAACACTACTGCAAATTACACAAAGCAGGGGGTTAATTAATTAACGTAACTCTTCATATTTCACTCCTCTCTCTCACTATATATGTGTATATCTATATATGTGTAGTCTTTGTTCTTTCATTTATATATATGTGATGCATAGATAGATAAACATAATCGAATCATATTTTGATTCTGGAACCACATTGGAAGGTGACATTGCAGGAGTCGTCGACGGTGACGGTGTACTCGTGGACCGGCCTCGACAGGAACGGCGGCAGGTGGACCAGGAGATCGCAGACGCATTCGTCGTCGACCTCCTTGAGCCACCTGCAGCAGTCCTTCTCCACGCGGGACTGGTGGTGGTGGTGGCGGCGGTTGTGCCGCCTCCTGTGCCTCCGCCGGTTCCGCCTGCTGGGCGGGGACGACGGGGGCGGGTGCGGCGGGGACGGCGTGTACGGCAGGAGCGCGCACGCGTGGTTCACCAGCGTGAACTGCGACGTGCACAGCGGGCGTTGCGCCACCACTGGCGACACCCACTTGCTGTCCTTCGCGGGCCCCGCCCCCAAAGAACGCGCCGCCGCCAGCAGAGACACTAGTAATAGGAATGCTGCTGATGATGATGCTTTCATGGTCTTTTTTTTTTTTTTTTTGTCTTCAAAAAATTTTGTTTAGTGTTTTAAGGAACTCTGGAGATGATCTCCGGCGGCGGTGGTGGAGGTGGTGGAGGAGGAGTGGCTAATAGTTGAAAAGAATTCCATGATTCAATTTATATACAAAAATTAATAAATCAAACATAAGCTTTACGTGTTCTTGATTAATTAGGTCGCAGATAAGGAGAGAGTTTATATAAAGAGTAAAGAATGTGGATAGGTGTGGGGTTGTAGCACATTTTATTACCTCACTAATCTTGCATGGCCTTTTCGTTTTTATTCTACTTTATTTTATTCAGTTTAGTCTCATTTAAAACAATTTGCAACCATTAATTTAGGTGGAGATCGGATGAGGCATAATAAAAATAGTGAAATTTGTACTAAAATATACTCCCTCCCTCCCATGAAACATTTCTCCTTTCTTTTTTTATCCGTCCCACAAAACACTTTTCATTTCTATTAAAAAGTCACTTTTACCCCTTACTTTTTCATACCCTAACTATCACATCATACCTTTTTACTAATAATCTATCCGGTCATCAAATCATACTTTTACCTATCACATCAAAGGACATTTTTGGAATTTCAATACCAAAATACACTCCCCTTAAATCCCTCATAAAAAGCAATAGATTCATTTTGAAACATAGTTTTGCAATATATAATTTTTATAAAATATATTTATATAAAAATTGAGATATTGATGGTCAAAATGTCACATTGGAGACCGTGAAAATCAAATGGGAAGTTAATTTTAGGACGGAGGGGGTATAATACTCTAATCTAAAGATTTAATGGGTCTGTTATTGGGCCTCTTTGGAAATAATACTAGATGTTAGTATTAGCATTTTGAAAAAGTTATTTACAAACGTTGTTTAACGTAGGATTTTTAAGTTAGTCTTCACCGCTAAAATTTTATCCAAAACACTAACGTTAATAAAAAATGCTAATTCCAAACAAGTCATTATATTATATAAATCGAAATATCACATTAGAAAACGTAACAAGAAAAATAAAACCTCACTGGGGTGGGGAGTATTTAATTGTTAACCAAAATGGATTAACAATAATATTGGTATATTTATATAGTATATACATGCAATAATACAAAGTCAATTAAGATGTAGGAGTAGCGTCAATTAATTACATTAATTAATCATGCCCGCAAAGGAGGAGCACCGTACATCTCCATATTATGTACACCCTCCCTCTTTGCTCCCTAAGTTGCTGCTTACTCCACCCCAGCCGCCGCCACGGCCACCTCCCCGACGGCGGCGCCCCTTCTGATCTCCGTCTTCTTCTTCTTCCTCCGAGTACTGATCCCGGCCGCCGCATCGAACCACCACCCGCCATATTTATTCTTGGTTGATCACACTAATTAAGTGTACGTCCGACACTTAATTATTCTCAGTTAATTAGTAACTCTTTTGATGATTTAATGGTGTTTCATGGATATATATGTGGATGATGATATATTAGAGAGAGAGAGGGAGATAAATTATTAGAGGAGAAAGAAGAGAGTACTTTTGGGAATATATATATATACAGTTATATTGAGTTATTGGTGGAATTGACAACAACAACAAACAACCCAATTAAATCCCACAAGAGTATGGTCTGGGGAGGGTGTGTGTACGCAGACCTTACCCCTACTCGAAAGTAGAGAGACTGTTTCCAAAGAGACCCCCGGTTCAACGTCGAAAGTTGCATTGCTTGACTAACTGCTACTTCATTAATTAAAGAAGCGCAGGCAGTTTAGAGATCCATTTTGATTTATTCCATCACACCCCAAAGCCAAAAAATGGTGAAATTTTGGCTCAATCGGAGATGATGGAAACTATTGGTGGAATTGATTTTATATAAATAATGGCAAACAAATTAAAGAAAGGTGTTCAATTTTTATGATTATATTGTCTCCTTGACAACCCCGTCCGCCCTGCCTGAACAAGACTTGTTACAACTTATCATAGACGCCTAGCTAGTCAAGCTAGCTAACAACGAGACAATCACAGTCCGTCTCATACGAATACTGTATCGGATATGAAAGAACTTCGAGCGTCTTCGGATTCCGAGAAAATGGAGACAATGATAGAAGGAAAACTTCGAGCGTTTTCGAGATCCAAGAAACGTGATTTAGAGTAATTATTGTATTGATTGATTGAATGATAACATGAAAGGATTACAATATATATAGAGTAATACGGTATGCTAATTGACCTAATGGGCTCGGGCCTATACTAAACCATAAATCCTATTAACTAATTAATATTAAATAATAAATACTAACTAACTAATAATTAATTAAATTGAATATGCTAACTACCATATATATCACCATTCTGAACTCAGAAAAAAGACTTGAAAATCTATTAATTTTATTTTCAAATTTGTGGTAAATTTGAATTTTAATAATCGTGTCAAATTTTGAGAATGGAATATGTACATATACTAATATGCTTAAGTATTTTAAAGTGCATAATTAAAATAAATATTAAAGCATGCGTGTTTTTAATTATAAGCTACTGAATTTGAGTTTTGAACATAAGGCGTGGATGAATCAATTAATAAGCTTTTTATATAATTAATGAATTTATTAATGACAATCATAATCCATTAAAGCTCATGGTGATGGTATAGTTATGTACGTAGTTGACAAACCATATCATATTATAGATTTTGGCCATCATTAAAAAAGCCATAGAATTCCAAGACTTTATTGGATCATAAACACACATATATAAATCTAGCACATTTTCTTACATTTATATATTGAGGCGTGGAGCGGTAGGGACAAACACATATGCAATTGTTATGTGTTGTCAAGAAGACGTAGGACATAACATAGAACACTACACAATAATGTTATTACATTTTTTTTTAATGAAAATTTTGAAACAATGTTTATTATCATAGCCGGATTAATTACACCTTAGGTATTGTCCTGTTAGGACTTAGAAACGAAAATCTAAATTAGGCCGGGTTCTCTTTATATATATATATATATATATATATATATATATATATATATATATATATATGTTCCCTCCGCCCTGATTTAATTTTTCTGTTTTGATTTTTTCTCATTTTTAAGAGAGTTTGATTATAGGTACATTTTTCCAAAATACCCTTACAAATACGGAGTAAATGCTTAGACATGAGAAGTGTGAAGATCAATTTCGGACGGAGAAACAAAAAATTGTGGGAATTCTGTCCAAACATATATACATCAATACATGCATATGAGAAATATGAAGATTAAATCAGGACGGAGATTTATAAGAAACGGAAAGTTTAAATCAGATCAGATAAACAATAACTTTAAATTAAATTATAATTTAATCAGATTAGATCAAATTAAATAAGACTTTAAAGATTCAGATCAATCTCTTCAGAAAAAAGAGAATAAAGCTTTAATCTTGTTTGGTAAAGTCCAATTATTGATAGACTAGTTCCAGCTCTTACGTTGGGTCCTAATCAGAGAGCCACATTCTTGCCGGCCACTTCTTACTGCCGGCGGAGATAAATTCCTAGCTTCCAAGCATATACTCCCTCTGTCCCTAAAAGATTGCAAGAATTTGATATTTTTTTAAAACTGTGACACTCTCTGACCATGAATCAAATATAGTTTAAAATAAACACATATTATAAAAATTTAATATTTCAAAACTATATTTTAAAATAAACATAATTTTACTAAATTTAAATTATAACTATATATAAATTTCCACAATTCACGGTCAAAGAGTACCATAATTTAACCAAAACGGCAAACTGTGACATTTTTTATAAACAAAGAAATTTATAAGTGGATCGCTTGTTCACCACACAATCTCACCCACTCGGGTCCAACCCATTTTCCCTTTAAATTTCCTTCCAATGAATCCATTTTAACCTCTATGGCTCAACAGGCCACTAAGCCCACTCACAGTTGGCAGTAGTTGGCAGTGGCACTACTCTACGTGAATTAAATGATATACTTTGCGTTCTTTATTTTTTAGTTAATCTGATTTGAGAGCACTGGTAATACCCTTCACGCCCACCGGCGTTACGGGGCGTTTAACGCTCCGGGGGCGTGAAACACCGCCTCCTGCCGGCGTGAAAAGGGCGTGAGGGCGCCTGCGTCAAACGAATGACGCGGCGTGAGGGCCGTTTTTTCTTCCCAACGGCTATAATGCCGTTACCCCCCCCCCCCCAAATTAAAAAAAAAAATTTAAATTTAAAAAAAAACCTATAAAATCCCCCCTTCTCATACATCTTCCTCACACCTCTCTCTAACAAATCTCTCTTTATTACTATATATTCTCTTAAAAATATTTATTATTTATTATAAATATTTATAAAATATAATTTAAAAATGGGTTCATCTTCCGACGATGAAAGAAGAGCTTTATTTTTTCGTTGTTTCGCGACGAATTGTATTCAATGGTGGGAAGATGGCCAAGAAGAAACCGAATCCTCCCGACGACGGACCCGACGCCAACGTCTAAACCAGGATCGAGCGGCCGCCCACGATTCACTTCTAAACGACTACTTTAATAATCCGTGTGTTTATACACCGGAGGATTTTAGTAATCGTTTTCGGATGAGTCGTCCTCTGTTCTTACGCATACTCGCCGATGTTGAACGCGAAGTTCCTTGGTTCAACCAACGGTTTGATGCGAGAGGCCGACGCGGGTTTAGTAGCGTCCAAAAGTGCACTGCCGCGCTCCGTCAGTTGGCGTACGGGACGACATCCGATATGTTCGACGAATACTTAAAGATGTCTGCTCGGAGCATCAGGTNCACGCACTGGGAATGGAAAAATTGTCCCACTGCGTGGCACGGTCAATTCTCCCGGGGAGATCATCCCAAGCCTACCATCATGCTCGAAGCTGTTGCTTCGAATGACTTGTGGATTTGGCATGCTTTTTTCGGTGTCGCGGGCTCGAACAACGACATCAACGTTCTCGATCAATCGCCTGTTTTTGATGATTGGGTTAATGAGACCGCACCGGACTCCTCTTTTGAGCTTAGAGGGACGCTTTACAAGCGTAGATATTATTTGGCAGATGGAATATATCCGGGTTATTCCACGATTGTCAAATCTCTCTCCGAACCAATGGGTCTTAAACGCCAAACCTACAAAAAAGCTCAAGAGGCGGCGAGAAAAGATATTGAACGAGCCTTTGGGGTCTTGAAGGCTAAGTGGCACATTCTAGATCGTCCGTCGAATTGTTATTCTCAGACAAAAATGTGGAATATCATGTACGCATGTATTATTCTTCATAATATGATCATAGAGGATAACGGGTCTGCGATTTGTCAATACAACCCGGACGACGAGGTGCCTATGTACGAAGAAATCACCGAAGAAAAGAAACGACGCAACCACCAAGAAATTCGAAACCGAGAGATTCACAATGCACTAACGGCGGATTTGATCGAGCATATCTTTAGTCGTTCGAATAATTAGTGATTTATTTGTACTGTTTTTTTTATGTAATTTTTTTTAATGAATGTAATTTTTTTTTAATGTTTTTTTTATGAATGTAAGATTTTTTATTAATGAATTTAATTTTTTTTATGCAATAGTGTCATTGCGATTAAATAAAATAATAAATTAATTTAAAATTATAAATTTAAATTTAGAAGATGTATATTTAAAAATGTAAAAAATGAAGGTTTGAAGCCTCAGTTTGAAGCCCCGGGGCTTCAAAACCATTTCCAGTGAATTTTGGGTGTAAGTTAAAGCTGACGTGGCAGAGAGAGAAAGTTTGAAGCCCCGGGGCTTCATGACCATTACCAGTGCTCTGACACAATTTGTTACTTGCTCCGTTGAGATTATATGTTTTGAAAAAATGCGCAAAATTTAGTGTTTTTAAAATTTAATTTATTCACAAATTGATATAGAAATAAAAAAATAACTCGCATATTAAAAAATTATATCAAGAGTTTTGCAAAATGAATGGTGACAAAAACATTTTATTTTATCAAATAGTCCATAAAAACATAGAAACAAATAAAAGTTATCGACTTGTTAGAATGGTAAATGTGTAATCTTTATTAATACGGAGTACCTATAAACGCATTAATAGGTATTTATAAATACATTTTCAAAAATATATTTTAAGGCCCAGAGAATATACTTTTTCAAAAATATATTAATAAGGATTACCTATAAATACATGTTGTCTTTTTGTGCATTTTCTTTGTTGATCGTTGTTATGTTGGGAAGGTGAGACTGTTTAGAGGACAAAAAGAAGTCATATATATATGGTGAAGGAGTCAACCCCGCACGGGGGCGGGTTGTCATGTTGCGATATGCATGGTGGACAAAGGTGATGACCAGTTTGACAGAGTTTAAAAAGAAAGAAAATGAATGGTTATAGAGGAGGTGGGGGACATTTGGGGTACACCTTTGGTCTACCCCTAGCATTTTCCTAAAAACAATATTGAAAAGTAAAAAAGTGTGATTGAATTTCTCTCTCGGCTTGAGTAGTAGTAAAGCCATTCTCAAGATTAGTGGATAAGTTCACTCAAATTCATCAAGCGCCATTTGAGATAAAACCATTAGCTCTTTGTGCGTCATTTATCCAGTTTAGAAAACATGGATGGACAGATATTACATTGTAATTAAGTCAATATTACTAATAAAAGTGTTGTTAGAGTTTATCTAAATGAGTGAATTGTATTTGATAGTAGCCACTTATTCATTAGAAAAATAGGTAGTAGAGAATAATGTAAGTGTAAATTTATTTGACACATCTTCCAAAAAATACTCTTTGACCCATAAGTTTTACGACATGGAAGAGTGGCACGAGAGTTAAGAAAGGTGAGATTGTATAGTCGATATTGATTTGCAGGAAAATTTAACAAAAAAACAATTATGCCTTTCATTCTTGATTTTGATTTTTGAAAGGCCAGCATGCATGTTGATAAAATTTGGGATGAGATAAGGATTGTTGGATTAGATCATAAGACACTCGAGTTGAATCACATTAAAAAATTGAATTCAATAATTGATTACTTTGTTCAACTCAAAAACTTATACTCCGTATATTATTTTATTCTTCAATTTCCAATGTGGGGTGCTTTAACACTCTCCTTCAAGTCCTTATTCAAACCATTTTGAATCTAATCGATTGACGAGATCACTTGCAAATGGATTCCTCCTTCTTAGAAAATGAAAGGATCGAAAATACCAACACACTTCAAAGACCACGAATGGTTGGGTTTTAATTTGTAGATGAACAATTAAATTATATGGACCTGCCACATGCCATTTTCATACGAACAACATGTATAAAAAATAATGGGTCGCTAGGAATTAAGAATAGGAACTGTCAATTTTTTGAATGGTGCACTGTAGGGCCCTGGGAGTCTTCTCATGACATTCGTCCCAATATCATGAGGACCAAGCCATTAAATCTTATCTATACTCCCTTCGCTCTTATTTAACCGTCTGTTTCATTTTACGTGTCAAACGTTTGGCTAATTATATATAAAAATATACAATGAATTAACGTGTCAAAATTACTTTAATTGTATTTTCTTAAAAAATTGTCAATATAGTTTAAGGAATATAATTGGTCAAACTTTAAGTTTTTATAGCTAATTGGGTAAAGGGTAATGGAGAGATGGAGTATTGAAAAGGCCCATTCTTAAGAACCCAAAAAAGACAGGCCCAATGCGCATGCAAATTAAACTTGCAAACGTAACTATCTCTCCGCAAAATGAGATATCGTTGAAGCAAGCCAGAGGCCAAAAATAATAATAATAATTCCCGGACCAAATCAAAATCCGATCTTCTCTTCCTCTTCTTCTCCGATCAATTTCCCGGCGGCCGGCGACACCTCCGTGCATATATGAGACACACAAAACCCATTCTCTCAATTTACCAGTCAGAAAGACGAAATGGCCGGCGGTCAGGATATAATGCTCTCAGCCTCGATCAACCTTTTGTCTGCAATTGCATTCTTGGTGGCCTTCGCCATTTTGCGGCTCCAGCCCTTCAATGATAGGGTATACTTCCCTAAATGGTACTTGAAGGGCATCCGAGCGAGCCCCAGAAGTTCGGGCCCGCTCGTCCGCAAATTTGTCAATTTAGATTTCAGGACGTACATCCGGTTCTTGAACTGGACGCCCGCCGCGCTCCGGATGCCCCAGCCCGAGCTCATTGATCATGCCGGTCTCGATTCCGCCGTCTACATTAGGATTTATCTTCTTGGGTATTAATCTTTTTTTTATTTTTTAAATTTAATGAGCCAACCGAAAGAAAATGTGATTTTGAAGTCACGACTTCGAATTCACAATATGTTCCATGCATGCATGCAGATTGAAGATATTTGTTCCTATCACAATTCTAGCATTTGCGGTCTTGGTTCCTGTGAATTGGACAGGTGAATCGTTGCAAAATCACAAGGACTTGACATATGATGGCATTGATAAGCTTTCGATCTCAAACATCGATTCGGGGTCAATTAGGTATGTATATAACAAATAACTCGTTTTTCAATCTGGGTTTAATTGTACACTTTTGATCACACATTTATATACCATATATACTACCCTAGCTTGCTTTTGATTCATTTTGATTATTTTGTGTGTGTGTGTGTGTGAATAAGGTTATGGGCACACATTTCAATGGCTTATATGTTCACATTTTGGACCTTCTATGTCTTGTACAAAGAGTACAAGATTGTGTCTACCTTAAGGTTGCAATTCCTGGCTTCTGCAAATCGTAGTCCCGATCAGTTCACTGTGAGTCGACCATTAAAAAAATTTAAGATTGTCATCACATTGATTACATGATTTTTGTTGTTGTGACATCTTCATGTTTTCTTTGACATGATACTAATAAATAAGGTTCATTTTTTAATCAATTATATATAAGGTCCTTGTGAGAAATGTCCCTCCTGACCTTGATGAATCTGTTAGTGAGCATGTTGAACATTTCTTCTGTGTAAACCATCCAGATCATTACCTTATACACCAGGTTTGTGATCTCTACACTATTTATGTTCACTGCATATATATGCCTTTTAAACTCAACAAATATTTTTAAAAAAATTTAAAAAAAACTTTTTTTTAAAAAATATATTACAAACTGCCTTTTAAACTCAACAAAGATTTTTAAAAATTTTTGCAAAATACCTTTTTTTTCTTATTTATTGTTCACTGCCTATGCTACATCATAATTAACCTTAAAATTGTGAAAGTGTTTAGGTTGTATACAATGCAAACAACCTTGCAACATTGGTGGAGAAAAAGAAGAACATGTCAAACTGGCTCACTTACTACCAAACCAAATTTGAGAGAAATCCTAAAACAAAGCCCAAAACAAAGGTAATTAATTTACCCCTTCTCATACCATACATACACATTATAAATGTGATGATCATTATATATATATATATATATATATATATATATATATATATATATATAATGATAATTATATATATTTCTTGAAATAATTATATATAATGCACAAGCCCATCATATTCAGTCATATATGTATTTATATGTATAGACAGGACCTTGGGGCCTTGTGGGAACAACTGTTGATGCCATTGAGTACTACACTTCTGAAATAAAGAAGTTGAGTGAAGAAGTAAGTAAATTATATGCCCTAAAAGCTTTACCCTCTTTCTTTTTTTGGAAGTCCTAAAAGAATGATCACTTTATTTCAAATTCTCCATGGAATGCATGAATAGGAAGAGGTGGAAAGAGAGAAAGTGTTGAGCGATCCAAAGGCGATAATGCCAGCAGCGTTCGTCTCGTTTTCGTCGCGGTGGGGAGCAGCGGTGTGTGCCCAAACGCAGCAGACGAGCAACCCGACCGTCTGGCTGACCGAATGGGCACCCGAACCGCGAGACGTCTATTGGAACAATCTTTCCATTCCATATGTGGAACTCAACATAAGAAGGTTGTTCATGGGAGTTGCCCTCTTCTTCCTCACCTTCTTCTTCATGATCCCCATTGCTTTCATCCAGTCTCTCGCTAGCATTGAAGGCATCGAAAAGGTCTTTCCTTTCTTGAAGAAATTGATTGAAATGTAAGTGTTTTTCCTTACATTCGTCAGAATATTCGTCTAATTTGATTTTTTTTCAAATTAGATGAATTTCAATATTAATTTCAATTATCTGTCGGTAAAAGCGAATAACGACAGATATTCAACCTTTAACGACATATTGACCTCTGTCGGTATTGCCTCTTTTTTTTATAGTGTCATATTTAACATTGGACATGCCTATTATTACATACAGGGACATAGTGAAGTCTTTTATCCAAGGATTTCTTCCGGGAATAGCATTGAAGATATTTCTGATAATCCTTCCCTCAATTCTAATGGCCATGTCGAAAATAGAAGGCTTCACATCACTCTCCTCTCTGGAGAGAAGATCGGCGGGAAAATACCATCTCTTCCTCTTTGTCAACGTCTTCCTTGGAAGCATAATCACCGGAGCTGCTTTCGAGCAGCTCCAGACATTCATGAACCAGTCGCCGACCGAGATCCCAAAGACGGTCGGCGTGGCCATCCCCATCAAAGCCACCTTCTTCATCACCTACGTGATGGTCGACGGTTGGTCCGGGATCGCGGCGGAGATCCTCAGGCTAACCCCGTTGGTCATGTTTCACATCAAGAATAGCTTTCTGGTGAAGACTGAGAGGGACAGGGAGCAAGCCATGGACCCCGGGTCCATAACGTTTGCCACATCTGAACCTCGCATTCAGTTGTATTTCTTATTGGGACTTGTCTATTCAGTGGTCACTCCTGTTCTCCTCCCTTTCATCGTCGTCTTCTTCGCCTTCGCCTATCTAGTTTTCCGCCATCAGGTATCGCATTTTGACCAAAAAAGTCAAAACTTTTTCTTAACGTTTTCTTATGATCATGATTGACATCTTTTTTATGTGTGGGGATTGGAAGATCATCAATGTGTATGATCAAAAGTACGAGAGCGGGGCGGCGTTTTGGCCCGACGTGCATTTCAGAATAATCGTAGGGATGATAACATCACAAATTCTCCTTATGGGGCTGATGAACACCAAAGGCATTTCCAGTTCAACTCCAGTCATTCTGGTTCTTCCTGTTTTGACCATCTGGTTCCATCGCGTTTGCAAGGGCCGGTTCGAATCCGCTTTCGTCAAGTTCCCGCTCCAGGTCCAATCGTTTCGTACCATTTTGTTTTTTACGTGCTCGCATTTCATATCAGAAACAACTTTAACTAAAATCAGATAAGACTTTAATAAAATTAGATCAGATGAGAACGAATTCTTGTAATTTTCAGGACGCGATGGTGAGAGACACGTTGGAAAGGGCGACGGAACCGAATTTGAACCTGAAAGTGTATCTGAAAGATGCTTATGTTCACCCGGTGTTTAAGGGCGGCAGCGAGGAGGCGGAGAGGGGAGTTGCCGGCGGTGTTACAGCGGCGGATGAGGAAGAGAACAGCCCGCTGGTCTCCACCAAGAGAAGTTCCCATAAGGGCAGCAAAAGAGAGTCCCATGCCAGCACCTCCACTGCCCCTCCCAACTAATTACCCAGCATTAACTAACTAATTACTGAGTATTAACTGATTACAACTTCTTCACATATATAGAACTGCATGCAAGCATTGCCCGTTAATTACTTTTCTAGGGCCTTTTTGGGAATATCTTTAGACATTAGCATCAGCGTTTTAGATAAAATTTTAACGGTGTAGATTATTTTGAAAACGCTAACGCTAAACGCTGTACGTAGATAATCTTTTCAAAACGCTAATATTTATCTCTAACGATATTCCCAAAGAGGCCCAAAATCTTTTAATAATTACTCACTCTTTCTTTTTTTAGTCTTCCCATTTTCTTTTTATGCAAATTTTTAAATGTAAAACTATGTCATTGAAATTAATTCAGATGAAAAGGAATTGATCATGAACTATATAATTCCTTTTTTAAGAGAAAAAGATAGGGAGTGTTAGGGTACGCATATAAAAATCTTTCTTGGGTTACAATTACAAATTTGAGCTTTTGGTTGATTTGATCCTTTATAATGATTAAAAGAAAATTAATAAAGACATCCCTAAAATAAAAATAGAAAGATGGCAAAAAAGGAAAAATTAACAAGCGATAATTTTTTTAAACCAATATTCAACATACATACACACCAATAGGTGTTCGGTTCAATACAATAATCAATCCCAGAAATACCTGGACGAAAATTATTCTTATTACAGATATCCTTTAAGTAAAATCTTTATTTAATTAGTAAATTTAAATTGGTGTTAATTAATTCTTAATATTACTACAAAATAATGCTTCAATTATAGTCGTGTAGTATATAATTAAAAAGAAGTAAATTAAAGGGTTTGACATCAACCAGCTTGTCTAAGCTTTTGCATGCGTTCCTCTACGAACTCGGAAGCCCTCCTGTCAAAAGTGTGGGTCCTGCCCCCCGCCGCCGCCGCCACCTTTCCACTACCATCATTTGAGACTATTGCGGCGGCGGGCTTTTTGTGGACGGGGCTCCACCGAGGTTCCTCCTCCTCCGGGTTGCGGTGGTCGATGTGCTCCACTGGTATTTCTGTGTCGGCGCGCCGGCGGTGGAGCCGCCCACACAGTCTGCCGCCGCATGCGGATGAGCGTTTTGTAGAGAAAGAAGATTGCTTATTTCCCATTTTCTCTTAATCAATTGCTATGTGTATAAATATATAAGGATGATTCTATAGGGATGATTTAATGTGTGTGTGTGTATATATATAGGAGGAGATTAAGGACTGTTTTAACAACATTCTGTCGCGTGAAAAGATGGACAAACATTTCCACACGTTATTCCATCTACATATTTCCTGAGAAATTTACCTAAATAGGACTAAAACATAACGACTTTCCTAATATAAGACCATATGTTTTTATTTCTCAATGTAGGACTTTTGGTCATTAACAAGTAGTCATTTTTCAAGTAAATGTCTAGCATTACTGGTCATTATTAAGTCCTATTTAAGAAATAAAAAAGTTTAAGTCCTACATTAGGAAAGTCATTATGTTTTAGTCCTATTTAGTGCAAATTTCACATATTCCCTCGTTCAATATAATTATCTTTCAACTCCCTCGTTCATGAAAAATTAGAATACTTCCTCCCCCCCCAATTTGATTACAAATTGGGGTTTACGAGGAGAGATATCTCACTTTTTGAAATCATTTTATTTATAAATTGGCATATCTATAAGAAAATAAAAATTAAATATTAAAAAGTACGTCAAAAGTTCTACAAAACAAGAGGTGACAAGAATATTTTATTTTTTCAAATACTTAATGAAATCGCGTAAACAAATAAAAGTTATCGAGAAGAGAGAAAAAAATTGTAATCTAATTGGGCACGGAGGGAGTATATTTTTCATTAAATTTTTTACAATATCAAGATAACATTTTAACCATATATATTTCTATTTATGTATCAATATATACTCCCTCCGTCCCAAAAAGAAGATTACGCTTCATTTTTTGCGCATCCCTTAAAATATTTCTATCTCGTTTCAAATGTCAAAAAAATCTTTAAAACAACTTTTACCCACAATAAAGGGTACGGTAAATATGGTAAATTTTAGTTATTTTAGATGTGGGTAGAAGTGTTCTACTCTCTCCGTTTTTTAAAACACTTCCTCTTTCATTTTTTATACTTCTAACAAAACACTTCCACTTTCTATTAAAAAACCACTTTTACCCTTACTTTTTCATACCTTACCTATCACATCATATTTTATCTCTAATAATCTATCCATCACATCTTACTTTTACCTATCACATCAAGGACAAAATTAGAAGTCAACTAAGAGGGGGGCATTATAGAAATGTAGGGAGTAATATTTAGAAACTTAATTTAAAATAAATTCTTTGATATTAAATTTATATTATAACTCAATGTATATTTTCACTTAAATTGTCAAAATAAAAAAGTTTGACCAACAAAGTCTAAATGAGATTTTTTTTTCAAGAAATTGAAGGAGTATTTTTATTTGAATTGTGCAAAAAGAGAATTTTCTTTTTTTAATAAAAGGACTTTAATTCAAACATCATATTCTGTTTTTTTCTCTACGTAAAAGACTACACAAAATTTATTATTTAAACTTGAAACGATTCCATACAAAATGATATTCCATAATTACGGAGTACATAATTTCTCTGTTCATGTGTATTTGTCTTTTTTTGACTTATTTTGGTCAAAATTAGTAATCTTTGACCAAAATTAAAAAAAATAATACTCCGTATTAGATATAGATAAAAAATTATTTATTAGTTTCATTTTATAAAATATTTTCACAATATCATTTTATCTATTTAATACTCCCTCTGTGATTCCGTCCATTGAATTCTTTCTCCTTTCTTTTTTGAGAAATTTATCTAAATAGCACTAAAACATAATTACTTTCCCAATATAGGACCATATGTTTTTATTTTCCAATATAGGGCTTTTGGTCATTATCAAGTAGTCATTATTCAAGTAAATGTCTAGCATTACTGGACATTATTCCTCCCACTAGGTCATTTTTAAGTCTTATTTAGGGAATAAAAAAGTTTAAGTCCTACATTGGGAAAGTCATTATGTTTTAGTCCTATTTAGTGCAAATTTTACTTCTTTTTTTCTTGTCCCACGCACAAACTTTTTCCTTTTTCTATTAAAAAATTAAACCACTTTTATTCCTACTAATTATTACATACTCTACCTATCACATTATACTTTTTTACTAATAGTTTATCCATCACATTTTACTTTTACCCATCATATCAAGGATATTTTTCGGAAAGTTTACACAAAAGTATCTTTCTCTTAAAATTTTCAAAAAGTCAATAAGGAAAAAATAAACGTTGAGGGGCGAAGGGTGTATATAATATATATTAATTTAATTATATGTCAAATATTGAAAATGGTTGACTGCTAAAAGTAAAAACTGAAAAAAATACTCAAGGACGGAGCTGGTATGAAGGGGGAGGGAAGGTATACTTTCTCTGTCCCAAAAACTGTATTGCGATTCACTATTCAAAATCACAAAAATATTTATCTATTTGTACGTTTTTATTGATTATTTAATAAAATAGTACTCCATCCGTCCCGCAAAAAAGTTCCCATTTTGAATAGTATTTAGTCAAATATTTACACGCTTTGACTACAAATTGTGAGAAAGATATATTGAATTATGAAATAAATTTAATATAATTGGATTCATCTTAGGATCTAGTTTTGATATCTCAAATTTTTTTAGCATTTTTTTATTTAGATTATATTTAATCTATGGTCAAAGCGTGTAACTGTTTGACCAAAAATACGTCAAAGTGGGAACTTTTTTGTGGGACGGATGGAGTATATTATTGTCACTCTTTTAATGTAGTTTTTAAATATCTAAATTTTATTTATTCTTTTATTTATATACCAATTTTTAAATAAAATTAATTAAAAACACTCAATATTTTTATTTGATTTTGCGCAATGTGTCGAACATTATTTGAAACGGAGAGGGTATTGTTTAAGCAACACGAAAGTAGTTTTAAATTAATGTGATTAAGAAAGAAAAAGGTTGTGGAATCGCATTCTTCCTATAGTTTTTTACGTAGAAGCAGCTGGATGCATGGGGGGTTCGGATTCCATTGTATGTATATATTTATCCAATAATTAAATTTGATGAACAAGGCTCGCTCCAGCTTGGACTCGGCAAAATGAACGGTCACATTGGATTTGATTCTTTCGAAAAAAGAAATGCGCGTTAATGATCGATTCAGTGTCGTCGTCCGTCAGATTCGAATAAATCCAATTAAATTAGGAATATTTATTTTTGAAAAACAATTAAATTATGCTTAGCAGTTACATTTTGAATTTCAAAAAGTAAAGAAATTATCGAATTAAGTATATTAAACATATTATGCTCCTGAGGCAGTCTAATATTGGAGGTGGGCGCATATGGTCCCCACTAATTTTTTTGTAATAATTAAGGTAATAAAAAAATATTCTCTCCGTTTTTAAAAGATCTTCCTCTTTAATTTTTTTATTATCCCCAAAAGATGTTTCCTTATCTATAAAAAAAATTACTTTTACCTCTAACTTTTTTATACCCTACCTATCACATCATATTTTTTTACTAATAATCTACCCATCAGATTTTACTTTTACCCATCACATCAAGGGTATTTTTGGAAAGTCAACACAAAAGTATTCCTTCCTTTAATTCTCAAAAAGTCAATAAGAGAAAATGGTTTAGGGACGGAGAAAGTAAAATTTATGCATATACGTCCCAACAAAAATTAATTTGATCCTATTTAGTTAGGTCAACTTTATTTTTTTTATTTTTTAGTAAAGTATTTTTATTGCATATAATTAATTATTTATGAAATAAAATTTTATATTACCTACCAAAAAATGTTTGCATTCAATAAATGTTTCAAGTAAAATTCATTATTTTTTTGCCATTTCGATCATTTAGCTTTTAAAAAAACCGGGGATGCTGGCCTCGAACCTCATTCAACGGTGCCTCCATTTAGCTTAATTCCTTGATCTGCAAGTCCCAGCCCAAAATTCTGAAAGTGATGGCCCCGAGGCCCAAAACTCCGATAGTGCAGGCCCAAAACTCCTCAGCCAGTGCACACCGGAGGAACTATGGTTCTGTCTGCCCGCTCCGCAGTTTAATTTATTTTTTTATTTAATTTTTTAGAAATCATTCTAAATAGGACTAAAACATAGAAAAAGTATCAAAATAGGATTTTCATGTTTTTTTCCCGGAATAGGACTTTGCACTGTGGTAATGTGACTTTGCATTGTGGTAATGTGGTAGTGTACATGTGCAAATTACTATACTTTTTTGGTAATGTATATGACTATGTTTGGTAATGTAGTCCTATTTCGAGAATAAAAACATGAAAGTCCTATTTTGGTATATTTTCAATGTTTTGGTCCTACTTTGGTCTTTCTCCCTTAATTTTTTGTTCGTGTGCTCGTTAATTTGTACTCATCCATCTCTTAAAACATTCCTCTTTAGGCATGTTTGTTTTTTTTGGCTTTGGTACGACATTTGGCTGTTTTGACTAACTTTTACAGGTCATATGACCAAAAAGAGTTTTTAGCATTTGAGTGTTGGGTTGAGTGTTTGAATCTAAAAAGCTAAAATGTAAAAACCATGGGGGGTAGTCTTTCCTTTTAGATTTTTAGTTGTTTAACAAGATTGAATATGGAGTATTATTTATTTAGATTTGTGCGTGCATCTAATTTTTTTGAATAAATAAGAAATAAAATATATATTTATTTCATAAATAAAATGAATACTCCTTCCCAAATTAATACTCATTCCCCAACTAAGATTAATAAAAAGTATTGTTTCATACTTCTTGTCTCCTCATTTTTGTTACATGAATAAGTGACATACAATTGAAAAATAAAAAAATACTCCCTCCGTTCCATAAAACTCTTCCGCCCTAATTTTTTGCGCACCTCATTAAACGCTTTTACTTCCACCTAAAATATCTAAAATATACCCTACTATATAATTTATTGCGGGTAGAAGTTGTTTTAGGAGTATTTTAGACATTTTAGGTGGGATAGAAGTATTTTATGGGCTACGCAAAAAAATAAAACGGGAGTGTTTTGTGGAACGAAGGGAGTATATGATTAATATTGATTATAAAGTATATATAAATAGTGTGAGTCACACAAAAATTATGAATGCAATTTGGGATAAAATATAATGACATAGAAGAAAATAAAAAAGATAAAAAAATTGAAAAGAATAGAGTATAAATTTTTTAAATACAATATGAAATGTTTAATTTAAAATAAATATTTCAACACTTTATATTTTTTCAAGTCTTTCAAGTTTATTTTCAACTCTTTCATGTTTTTTCTAATTCCATGAAATTTAAATACTGTACAAATCTAATTACTCCATCCGTCCCGGAAAACATGGGAGTTTTGATTTTGAAGGGAGATTTAAGGGGAGTGTATTTTGGTATTGAATTTCCAAAAATGTCCTTTGATGTGATGGGTAAAAGTATGATTTGATGGATAGATTATTAGTAAAAAGGTATGATGTGATAGATAAGGTATGAAAAAGTAAGGGGTAAAAGTGACTTTTTAATAGAAATGAGAAGAGTTTTTTAGGACGGATGAAAAAAAAAGGAGAAAGGTTTTCTGGGAGGGAAAGAGTACATTATAACACATAGGAAAAAAGAAAATAGATAGCAGTAGATAGATAAATGTAACACACACATGTAAAGATTGTGAGTAGTACATTGGTATTAAAGTATTAATTCACACAATTAATCCATCCCCCAAGCACTTCAAATATAGTAGTATCAACTAACATTAATTATGAAGCCATAAAGTATTGTCATGGTGAAAAAAGTATGCATCTCTTTTTTAAACTCTTCATGCAAAAAGCTCCATCTTTCATTCTTAGCTCCAAAATCAAACCTATATATCTCCCACTTATATGTATATATACTCCTCCAAATTAAACCTAACCTCTATACCATTCTTTATATCATTAATTAGAAAATAGAATAATGTCTAATCTGAATGGAAAATGTAACAATAATAATGGCTCCACAATTGGAAGGCGTGTTCCAACCAAGGGAAAGGCGGCCATTCTTGCAATGGGGAAAGCCTTCCCGAGTCAACTCGTTCCCCAGGATCGGTTGGTTGAAGGCTACTTCCGCGACACCAAATGCGACGACCCTTCCATCAAAGAGAAGCTCGAGAGACTTTGTAATAAAGAAATTAAACTCTATATATGCTTAAATGCTAGTCATACAGTCTTTTCGAAACGCTTGGTTTTAATTATATATCTGACTTTGATGCAAGGTAAAACAACGACAGTGAAGACCAGATACACGGTGATGTGCAAGGACGTGCTCGAGAAGTACCCCGAGCTTGCAACCGAAGGCACCCCCACCATCGCGCAGCGCCTGGAGGTAGCGAACCCCGCCGTCGTGGAGATGGCGAAGGAGGCCAGCCTCGCCTGCATCCACGACTGGGGCCGCCCCGCGGCGGAGATCACCCACCTCGTGTACGTCTCCTCCAGCGAGATCCGTCTCCCCGGGGGAGACCTGCACCTGGCGGCTGAGCTCGGCCTGAGGAGCGACGTCAATCGCGTCATGCTCTACTTCCTCGGGTGCTACGGCGGCGTCACCGGGCTCCGCGTGGCGAAGGACATCGTGGAGAACAACCCGGGGAGCCGGGTCCTCTTGACCACCTCGGAGACGACCATCCTCGGGTTCCGGCCCCCGAACATGGCCAGGCCGTACGACCTTGTCGGCGCGGCCCTGTTCGGGGACGGGGCGGCCGCCGCCATCATCGGGGCGGACCCGGTGGCGGGCGGCGAGAACCCGTTCATGGAACTGTTCTTCGCCGCCCAGCAGTTCCTCCCCGGAACTCAGGGCGTGATCGACGGGCGGCTGTCGGAGGAGGGGATAAACTTCAAGCTGGGGAGGGACTTGCCGGAGAAGATACAGGACAACATCGAGGAGTTCTGCGCGAAGCTTACCGGGAATGTCGCCGGAGGGAAGAAGCCGGGGTACAACGAGATGTTCTGGGCGGTTCATCCGGGCGGGCCGGCGATACTGAACCGGCTTGAGGGGACGCTGGGGCTGAGGAAGGAGAAGCTAGATTGCAGCAGAAGGGCGTTAATGGATTATGGGAATGTGAGTAGCAATACCATATTATATGTGATTGAGTATATGAGAGATGAGCTGAAGAGGAAGAAGGAGGAAGAAGATGAAGAAGGAGAAGAATGGGGAGTTGCTTTGGCTTTTGGACCAGGGATCACTTTTGAAGGGATTCTTCTCAGGAGCATTTGATGATATGATGAAAAAGAAAATTAATACTCTATATTGCAATTTCTTTTTATTTAATTTTATTACATTTATAGTGTTCCATTCAATTCCATCAATTACTTGCCTAACACTAAAAGTTAATTAGTCCTTCTCCATTTCTTAATAAATAAGACTAAATTGTTTTTCAATTCTTCTCATGTTTAATTAAATTATTATTTGATATATTTGTTCTATTCCTAAATTCTCTTCTTCTATGATGTTAAAATGTTGAGTGTAATTATTTTTATTTATATACTCTCTAATTATTAGCGCAGAATTAAATGAGTGATAAATATGTTTTATTTAAATAAATAATCCATAAATGGAGGTTTATAGGAGAGGGAGAAAGACCAAAGTAGGACTAAAACATTAAAAATATATCAAAATAAGACTTCTATGTTTTTATTCCCGAAATAGGACTTACATTACCAAACATGGTCATATATATTACCAAAAAAGTATAGTAATGTGCACATGTACACTGTTACATGATCACAGTACAAAGTCACATTACTACAGTGCAAAGTCTTATTTCGGGAAAAAAACATGAAAATCCTATTTTGGTACTTTAGTCTATGTTTTAATCCTATTTAAGGTGATTTCTAAAGAAAATATCACTCTGTCATTGATTATCTGTCCATTTTTTACTTTTTCAATCAATTATTTTTAACATTTGACTTATAATTAGATAAATTATATGTTATATATGAATTATATAAAATAATATTTTGAAAATATTTGATATAATAAATCTAATAAATTATTTTTTGTATGAATATCTAATATTATTTTTATTTAATTTAATGTCATAGTTTACCAATTTTGACCAATAAATAAAACATTTTTTCTTTTGGAAAATTTACCTAAATAGTACTAAAATAATGTAGACATTATTAAGTGTTATTTAGAGAATAAAATAATTTAAATACTACTCCGTATTAGGGAAATGACAAATTTTTTTTTCTTCTACACTATCAAATTTAAATGTCATCCGGATTTCTTTTTTGAAACCGGAAATGGCAGCCGCAGACGAAGAAGACACTTCAATGTTCCTAACTGTTCCGGCAACAACCGGGTATCACTCTCTTTCTTCTTCTTCTCATTCTATCCAACATTTGCCTGTTTTTTTCAATTGTTTGTTCTTTTCTTTCATTTGCTTGGGATGCCAGGGGGGTTAGACACAAGTGCCCGGCATGCTTCAAACAGTACAAGAAAAAGGAGCATCTCGTTGAACACATCAAAATTTCTTGCCATTCTGTTCACGATCCCAAGTGTGGGGTGTGCCAAAAACACTGCAAATCATTCGAATCACTCAGGGAACACATCATAGGTGAGGTTATATTCGGTTTCTATGAATACCCTCTAGGTAAAGTTTCAATCTTTATGGGTAGTCTTGAATTTCTTCGCTTCTGGAACATTCAGGCCCCTTGTCCAAGGTTATCTGCTCAAGAATCTTTGCTGAAAGAGGCTGTTCTCTGTGCTTGAGGCTATTTGACTGTTCTGATTCCTTAAGCCAGCACACAGATATATGTTGCCTTCCAGCTCCTGCACCTATTGTAAGGGGGATATATTATTTGAACTCATTCAAGAATGGAAAAAAGGCAAATAGAAGGGAAACTCAAATTTTTCCGAGTTCGAACTACTTTAATTTATGCCTTTCTATTGTAATGAATACCAAGAACTCAAGATATGACCTTAATCTTAAAAAGTGATAATCGAATATAGTTTCCATTCGAAAAGCATTTCCTTAGTCATACCATTTCCCCAGCTCCTAACATGGCCTTGTAAGAAGACACAATGTGGGAAATAGTTGGAAAATGGTCAAACTTTCAAGGTGATATATTCAAGGGATGTCATGATGTCGAAATTCTTTGTTATGGTTTGTTGCAGGGATGTGTTCCTTCTATAAAAATTGAAGTTGACAATTCATCTTTAAGTGACGTGAATGAGTACACGAATGGAAGGGAAGCAGTTGCCATGGATTGCGCAATTGTAGGTGGGGGAAGCGATGGATCACTTGATCTTTGTGCTAGGGTATGCCTAGTTGATGAAGATGAGAAGATAATATTCCACAGCTATGTTTTGCCTCATATTTCTATAACCGATTATAGGTTAGCTGTTATACCACATATCGCAGAACTAAAGTAGTTTTGAGTTTGTCAATGAAGGTGAGAAGTTAGTTAGGCATTGTTTTTCGTTCAGGTATGAAATCACGGGACTTACCGAAGAACACATGAGAGAAGCAACGCCAATTGTGGAAGTAGGGGAGAAGATTTTGGAGATTCTTCAAAATGGAGAGGCAATTTGGAAAGTGAGAATGGATGGTGGAAGAGCTAAGGTTCTTGTTGGGCATAACCTCACTCGTTTCTTGGATTGTCTGAGAATCTATTATCCCGACCATTTGCTAAGGTATTAAGCTTTGTGACAATTTTTTTATGCCGCTCTATGTTTATCCCGATTAGTGTTTTTATGGGTCTCTTGGAAACAATCCCTCCACTTCATAGTAGTCCCTACTTCAAAAGCACTATTTTGTCTAAAGATAAATATATCTTCTCAAAGAAAAACATGTTTTTGCATCATCTATGAATGAATTCAAATATCAGGGAGTTAATAAGGCTTCTTGTTTCTCCATTTCTGTTTTTTTTTGCAGAGATACTGCAAAGTACCAACCTTTGGCAAAGACAAATTTTGTCAGCCACACTTTCAAGTATCTCGCCAAGACTTATCTCGGGCGAGTTACCTCAATTCTACTCTGTAATTGTTTGTTAATTCAAGAGCCCGTTTGATATGGCTCGAAATGGTTGAAGTTGACTGCTGAAGCATCAACTATGCCAACCAAACGGGTTCTTAGTGGTTTTGAGCAAAAAAAATTGAATTATCCCTTAGCTCAAAAAGAAATCTGCTAAATGATTCAACAGGTACGCCATTCAGGAAGGAGTGCACGATACATACCAAGACTGTGTCACTGCGATGAGGCTGTATAAGAGAATGAGGTTCCAAGATCACGGTTGGGGTCAAAATGAAGAAGGCCCATTGGCCTCCCAAGACTCCCCCACGGGCTTTGGTTCGTACAGCTTGAAGGAACTGGAGCGCATGACACCCGACGAGCTTCTTGAGATTTCTAAACCAAACTACCAATGCTGGTGCTTGGATTCAAGAAGAGCTTCATCTCCATGAAAGTCTTTAATTAGCATACGGGTATTGCGGTAGCGTATATATATCTAGTTGAACAATGTTAGACTGTGAGTTTTGGTTTGTTAACTGATTGTAGCTATGCATAAAGATTCTGTCCCTCCCATTTTGGACCATTCTTCTTTAACTTGATTAGAAGATGATGCAGTCCTCTTAATTGAAAGGTTGAAGAGTCATTATTATCTTTATTTTCATACTGATTTGTTGAAGGTGTGGCTAAATGTCATCTAGTGAGTGCATGAGATATGACTTCTGGTATCTAACGATAAAAAAAAAATCTAAACGGGAGTTGTTTTGATATCTCTCAAATCACGAACTTCGATTTCTCCCTCAATTGCGCTTAAAATATTTTATTTTAGATTTTAGAATCATATCATTTCTAAAAATTTCAGAAATCATATCGTATCAATTTTGCTTCTCCAGTGTAAGTATTAATTCAATTTTTACCAACACAAATACAGAATTATTATACTCTCTCTGTCATAAAATGATTTACCTATATACTATAACGGTGTCTCGACAACTTTTGTTTGTTTGTATATTTTCATTGATTATTTGATAAAATAAAATATTGTTGTCACATATTATTTTGTAGAACTTTTAATATAATTTTTAAATATATATTTTTTTATTTTTTATTATTTTTATACCAATTTATAAAGAAAATCATTTAAAAGGTTGCGAGATTTTGCACGTTGATCGAAAGGAATGATTTATTTATGAAAGGATGAAGTAGTAAAAAAAGTTTTAGAGGGGCTTGGGGCAAACTAGGGGTGGACACGATAGTGATGCGGAACCGCCACCGGCGCTGGAACCCGGTTTTGCCACCGGAGTTTTAAAAAAAATTAAAACTTGACTTTATATATGTCAATACAAAGTCAATCACATATAAGATAAGTTACAAGTTAATTTAAAAGTCATATGAAATGTCATGTACACTATGAAGTCAAGTGGATGGCCACATTTGCACTCACCAATCAGATTTTCAAAATTTTAAGGGGTACCTCTTTGTTACATTTTTTAAATGTGGAACACTTTTTTACAAATTGAAGATGATGTACTTTTTTGTTACAACCCTCAAAGTTGGGGTACTTTCCAAGTAAAAAATTCATTCTATTTACGGAGCATATCAAAATATAACAGTTAAAATTTATAAAAAAGTCAGATGAAAAGATTAAATTTGAACAAAAGAAATAAAATTTTTTTGAAATTAAATAAATTGGTTAAGAAAAATAAAAAAGACATTGTCATTTGTCAATATCAAAGTTAAAAAAGAATCTATGAAAAAAACTCCACAATGAGAAATCAATTGTGAATACCGCCTCCGACATTGACCGGACTTTGGCAATCGTTTTCCTCCTGACGAACGCATAACCAGAATCTCCGGTGCTCTCTCTCTCTCTCTCCGACTTCAAGAAAACAAAAAGCATTCTCGAGCGCAGTCGCAGTCTCATGACAAGCTTCGCCCGGTTCAATTCTGCGCTAACCCAACCCTAGGAAACAATCGAGCTCAATCATGGCGGCGGCGGCAATGGCCAGTCCGTGGGACACGGTGTTGGAGCTCACTAAGATGGCTCAGGACAGGGGGACTGACCCCTTGGTCTACTCCTTCCAGATATCTTCCACCCTCAACGCCGCCGGCGTCTCCATTCCCTCCCCGGACTTCGCCGCCGTCCTCGTCTCCCACATCTGCTGGTCCAATAACGTTTCGATTGCCTGGAAGTTTCTCGAGAAGGCATTGACTCTCAGGGTTGTTCCTCCGCTCTCTGTTCTTGCTCTTCTCTCTACCAGGTAATCAACACTTCAAGAAGTATGGAGTAAGAATTTGTTGAAAGCTTGTTTTTTTTTTTAAATTTTAATTTGCTTGCTCTCAGTGGTCTGAGTTTGGTTTCTGCTGTCTCTTGTTACAGAGTAATTCCAAACAGGAAGATCTACCCAGTGGCCTATAGACTGTATATGGAACTTATGAAAAGATATATCTTCTCATTGAAGTCTCTGATTAATGGCCCCAATTATCAACTGTAAGCCCAACTTGCTCCTTTTCTATCTGTTAGAGTATATTCTACTAGTAGTATCTTTTGATTGTTTTCATTAATCTTATTCTGCGTATTTGAACGACAATAGAGTTACCATCAAGTTCAGTCTGTGTGTGTGTGTGTGCGTGGGTTGAAATATTTGAATATGAAAATGCAGGATTATGGAGTCCGTCAACCAGACTCTTAATCTTTCCCAGACTTTTGGGCTTCCAGATTTTGAAACTGGGTTAGTTTTGGTGGAATTTATTTTTAAAACTGTGTGGGAGTTGGTTGATGCATCACTTGATGACGAGGGATTGCTGGAACTCTCTGCTGGAAAGGAATCGATGTGGCCGATAAGAACACAAGATATGGAGATAGACAACCGCGATGCTTGTGATGGGAAGAGGGTGGAACAAAATGAGTTATTCCTTAAAATGAATACCATATTGGCTACTGAAATAGTTGGTGAATTTTTTCAGAACAAAGTGACTTCCAAGATACTTTACTTGGCGCGCAGGAACATGTATGATTGTATACCTTTTTGTATGTTCTCTTTCGTGCTCCATGCTTGGAAAAAAGCTCTTTTATTAATTCATTTATGGATGTGTGGTTCAGAAAATGCCGTGTACTTTTCTTTAACGCTATGTTTGGTTCAAAGAATTTGAAAGGAAAGAGAAAATAAAATGAAAGAAAAAACATCTTTTCTTGTTTGGTTAGAGAGAAAAAGAACAAAAAAAATGGTGAGCAAAAGGAGAGAAAACCTCTTTCTTTTCCTTCCCTTTCGAGTTCCACAACCAAACATAGTGTAAATGTAGACTACGTAGCGTTATTGAATCCATTTCTTCTTGTTAGCTCTCTTACACAGACATGATTGATATATTTATTTCTCATTAGGCCTTCTTACTGGGAGCCCTTTATCCAGAACTTGCAGTTGCTTGCTTCAAACTCAACAGCAATAAGAAATTCAAAAAGCATTTCTCCAGAGGCTCTGTTGCAGTTAACATGCGATACAGATGTATTCCTTTCAAGGGATGGTAAAACAAGCACACTACACCGGTTGCATGCAGTAGTTGACTCTTCACTTGCATCTTTTGCCAGCCGATGCCATGGTACCAGCCCATCAGCTTACTGGTTGCCCATCGATCTCTTTCTTGAAGATTCCTTAGATGGGTCACAAGTCATAGCTACAAGTGCTGCTGAAACACTTACTGGTAACGCAAACATCTTTTAATACATAATTTTAATAACTAAACATTCATTCAGTCAATGTTAACTGGATTAGTATTGCAGCTCTATAGAAGTTATACTTCACTTTTGTCAAATGCTAACTAGATCAGTATTTCAGTTCTGGTGAAGGCTCTCCAAGCAGTTAACTGTACTACTTGGCAGGATACATTTCTTGGGCTATGGGTTGCAGCACTGAGGCTTGTTCAAAGAGTGAGTGACTTTTTTTTCATTGTCTGGTTTTAAAATAGTTGAAAATTCATAGATATCAAAATACCACATTGCACTGAAAATTAAGTGGTAGCTTTGATATTTTCTGTCATTAGTCTACTGAAGTATGCATTAATTTGAATTATACTTATTTCTGGTATTACTTTTCACACCTCTAGGAAAGGCATTTGTCTGAAGGACCAGTACCTCGCCTTGATACGTGTTTATGCATGGTGTTGTCTATTACACCCCTTGCAATTGCTAACATTATTGAGGAGGAGGAAAGTGAACTCAACCTCGCCAACCAAGGAAAAAGTTCATCGGGACAGCGCCGCCAAGCCTTAATTTCAAGCCTAAAACAATTGGATGATTATGAAGGATTGTTGACTCCACCACTGCAGGTGGTTTCAGTAGCAAATCAAGCTGCTGCAAAAGCTATGATGTTCCTTTCGGGTATGAGTGTTTCGAGTGGGTACTTCGATGGCGTTAGCTTGAACGACATGCCCCTGAATTGTGGTTAGTATTTTTCTTCCATTCCTTAGACACTTTGTAACATGGCATACTATACAACGTTGGTGCCAGTGATTTTTGTGGATTACTTGTAGCTGGAAATTTGCGGCATCTTGTTGTTGAGGCCTGTATTGCCAGAAATGTTCTGGATACATCTGCTTATTTCTGGCCTGGCTATGTAAAAGGTCGGTGCAATCAAATACCTTGTGGCATTTCAGGCCAAGTACCTGGATGGTCTTCACTGATGAAAGGGTCTCCTCTTACTCCTCCAATGATGAGCGTGCTGGTTTCAACACCAGCCTCAAGGTAGGACAATAATTTTAAGCTCAGGATCATAAAAGATACTGCTTTTGCAGCTTCCCTTGATTTATTGTCAAGTTCTTTAAGATGAGTTTATGAAATTAATGATATGTATGTAACCAGGTGCTTAAAAATTAGAAATTGCATGGTGTTCTTGTTCCTTCAAAAGAAATATTATAAACTACTAAGACACAGAGTTAGAGGAAGAAATAGAATCAGAAGTATGAAAATTTTAGGGATTAAATAATATCTTTCATTCCAAGATTTTGTGATACACAGTTTGGTGGTATAGAACTGCAGACATTCAGTCTGGTTAAACAAAGTTGGGGGGCTTTCTTAATGTGTTATTACTTATCACGGAGTACATTTTTTTCGTGATTTGCTTTCTTCGTCATGCATGTGAGCATTTTAGTGTTGCTTAAGCAGCGACAATGCTTCATTGAAACATGATTTTGAAATATAAAAAATCCATTAATTTCACTCAACAGATGTTTTCTCGCACTGAAATTGTTAGGCAGACACTGCCAAGTGCCAATCCTGAAATTTGATTTTTGTTTTTGAGTCCTGAACTTAAACCATTTAGGTTAACGAGTTAACTACCTTTTTAGGTGATGCTAAAACAATTTCATGGCCATTCCAAATTTTAAAAAGAAAAGAATGATTGATGCCTGATTAGGCAGTGTATATTCCTTCACATTTTTTCACAACTATGTGCTCGTCATTTTCATAAAAAAGGAGATATCTGCAGCTACAGTTCACATTAGGCAGTGTATATTCCTTCACATTCATATCAAGATGATTTCCCACCATTCCTGTAACTTGTAATGCAACTGAATTTTTGCCGCGTGCGTAATGGAAGTTTAGCAGAATTAGAGAAAATATATGAGTTTGCAGTAAATGGTTCGGACGAAGAGAAGATATCTGCAGCTACAGTTCTATGTGGAGCATCTCTTACCCGTGGTTGGAATATACAGGTACTGTGCATTATGTAATCCTTTATCCCAAAAAAATTGAGAAAGGTGCATCTTTTTAGTCAAATCAAGCAACAAGGCACGAAGGTTTTTAAAATTTATGACTCTTTATAGGGACGAAACTATTTGGGATACATTTCAATATTCACCATTGACTTACTCTGACCATGTTGTTCTATTCTAGGATTAGCCTTGTTTCAATATCTAGTTGAAGTAATTTATGTATTTTTTGTTTTTTAGTGCAGATTAGTTATCAATGCATATTGAAGTATATATTTGCTTTCCTATCTTTTTGCTTGTAGGAACACATAGTCATGTTTATCACAAGACTGCTTTCACCTCCAGTTCCTAAAGACCACACTGGATGTGAAAGCCATTTGATAGGTTGTGCTCCATTTCTGAATGTCCTTCTTGTCGGAATATCATCGATCGATTGTATGCAGACTTTATCCTTGCATGGATTGGTAGGTTGATATGTTACCTGAAATTTTATAACCTGCATACCTATATTTTATATTGTACCCAGAGTACTTGTCTTGTTTGACTCTTTTTTGACTTGAAAGAGTCAAACTGGACAATCTTTAATAATCAATTACATTAATTTTGCATTGTATATTAATACAATGAAATGAATTTTTGAAAGTTTTATGCAAGATATATTTAATGAAATCATTTTTGTACTCAAATGCAATACCATTTTTTTATTACATCCATCCCAAAATAAACATCCCACTTACTCCCTCCGTCCTGTATTAACGTTCCACAAAATATCAGACACGAAGATAAGGAAAAGTGAGATTGTGTCGTTGAAAGTGGTGCAGAGGATAGAGAAATAATATAAGCTACAGAAGGTTTGCTTAATTTGGAAAGTGGAACCTTGTTTTGGGACAGATAAAAAAGGGATTGTGGAACATTATTACGGGACAGAGGGCATACTTATTTTGATTCGTCCCAAAATAAAAGTCCATTTTCTTTTTTGGTAAAATATATGTGGCCATCATCGTTTCTCTCTTTTTCAAATCAATTCCTACCACACTTCACTTTTCAACACTTTTCTTAAACTCCGTGGCCGGTCAAACTGTCAAAGTGGACTTTTATTTGGGATGGAAGGAGAAATTGGTTATTAAAGTCTGTCTTGAAAAAGTTAAACTAAACGAATACTCTCGTACGAAGGTAGTAATTTTTACGGTGTAATTCTTAAGTTATTGGTTCGTGGTTTGATATATAAAGATCTCTCAATAGGTTCCACAACTTGCGGGTGCATTAATGCCAATCTGTGAGGTTTTTGGTTCTTGTGCGCCCACTGTTTCTTGGGCTGTTACCAAGGAAGAATTATCTTCCCATGCTGTGTTTTCAAATGCATTCACTCTTCTGCTAAAGTTGTGGAGATTTGACGAGCCACCATTTGAGAGCGCAGCTGGGGAATTATCACGTGTAACGCCTGAATATTTATTATTGGTGCGCAACCGTCAGTTGGCCTCGAACAATCAATTCAAGTGCAAGCGATTTTCCAGACTTTTAGATCCATGGCCTAGTGAACCTGTATTTATGGACTCATTTCCAAAGTTGAAGTGTTGGTACCGGCAAAATCTAGCATGTCTCTGTTCAACACTCTCTGGTCTTGTACATGGAACTCCTGTTCATCAGCTTGTAGAAGCGCTGCTGAGTTTCATGTTCAGAAAACTAAGCAGGGGCGGGGGGCAGCCCCTTACCCCACCTACTACTTCTGGAAGCAGTAGCTCATCTGGGCCCGGTGATGAATTATCTGACCGTCTTAAAGTACCCGCATGGGATATTCTAGAAGCGCTTCCCTTTGCCCTTGATGCTGCCCTCACAGCATGCGCACATGGAAGGCTTTCACCCCGCGAACTAACTACAGGTGATTAAGTTGAAATATTTTTAGAACATTTTTCTACGTTATCATGATGCCTGGAAACAGAGTAGGATTTTACTAGGGATATGAATAAAAATCTTGAACTCTGTCCCAGGGATTAAGGACCTCGCCGATTTCCTTCCTGCTTCATTGGCAACAATTATAAGCTATTTCTCAGCAGAAGTAACTAGGGGTCTTTGGAAGCCTGCCTCCATGAATGGAACTGATTGGCCAAGTCCAGCTGCAAATCTTGCTTCGGTTGAGCAACAGATTAAGAAAACCTTAGCTGCAACGGGCGTGCATGTCCCCAGTCTTCCTGTAGGTATGAATAAGCTCACTCACTTTCCATGCCACTTTCTTTCTCAAAGAAGACCCACCTCCCCCTCCCCCAGCCCCTGCAGGGTGTATGGTTTGGATCCCGGAAAAATGCTAAAGAAGGGGGGAAAATGCCAATAAAAGATATTTTCTTTCCTTTGATTTTACTTTTTTTGAAAATGCAGATGGAAGCTCTGTATCTACTCTGCCCCTACCTTTGGCAGTACTTCTCAGTCTCACCATCACATACAAACTCGATAAGGACACCGGTCGGTTTCTCAACTTTGTGGGTTGCTCCATGAATAACCTGGCCACTGTGTGTCCCTGGCCATGCATGCCCATCATCGTCTCCCTGTGGGCCCAGAAGATAAAACGCTGGAGCGACTTCCTCGTCTTCTCTGCGTCTCGCACAGTTTTCCACCACAACCGCGATGCCGTGGTTCAACTCCTGAGAGTCTGCTTCAAAGCCACACTCGGCCTAAACAATTCCATCACATCGACCAGTGGTGGGGTCGGTGCACTCCTCGGTCACGGGCTCGTCTCCCATTTCTCGGGCAGCATATCTCCCTCTGCCCCGGGCATAATGTACTTGCGTGTCCATAGAGCCGTCCGGAATGCACTGTTCATGACGGAGGAGATCGTCTCCCTCCTGATGAGTACCGTAGGAGACGTCGCCAACCCCGCCGAGAACTTGGAGAAGCTCAAGAAAACGAAGCACGGGTTGAGATACGGCCAGGTGTCGCTCGTCTCCGCCCTGGCCCGTCTCAAGCTCGCGGCTTCTCTGGGCGCCTCGTTGATTTGGATAACGGGCGGGTTGAGTCTAGTCCAGTCTCTGATTCACGAAACGCTCCCGTCGTGGTTCATTTCCGTCCAAAAACACGAACCCCTACCCCCCGGAGTCGAAATGATGAGGGGACACGCGCTCGCGTACTTCACGGTGCTCTGCATGGCGTTCGCCCTCGGGGTGGGCCCGCTCGGCCCGAGGCGGTCCAATGTCCTCGCGAGGCACATGGAGTTCCTAGCGAGCGCATTGGAAGGGAAGATATCCCTGGGGTGCAACGAGGCCACGTGGAGGGCTTATCTCTCGGGCTTTGTGAGCATGATGGTGGTTTCCACGCCCAACTGGGTGAGGGAGGTCGACGTCCGGGTGGTGAAGAGGCTGAGCAAGGGGTTGAAGCAATGGAAAGAGGAGGATTTGGCCGTCGCCCTTCTTGGGGTCAGCGGGGTGGCCGGGATGGCCGAGGCTGCGGAAATGATTATATTGCGCCGAGTTTGAAGTTTTACTACTATACCCTCGTCAACGACAACAAACAAACCGAGTTGAGTCCCACAGAAGTAGGGTAGTGTCTCGGAGCGTGGGTATGCAGACCTTGCCTCTATTTTCTTGAACCAATATTTTTATGTAATGTATATGTGTTGTTTCATGATGTATATGTGGGGGAAAAAAAGGTTTATTTGGGTTTTTCTCAGTTTTAGGATTTGGAATTGGAGTTTTAAACAAAATTCTCCTTTCTAAAATTTCCTCTTCAACTCCGCAGTGATTTTTTGGAAACGAACTCCATAGTGATTTAATGGAAGAAGAAATATTTTTATGAGTTCAGGAGTTAAGTTCAAACAAGTTGTGATGGTCTAGTGACCATCACAACTTGTTTGAAGTGTAACTCCTGAACTCATAAAAATATTTCTTCTTCCATTAAAATCTTATCCTTTTTTTCATTTTTAAAAATAATTCTCTTAAATTTTGTGGAATCAAACACCAAGATAAATTTGAAGATGGAGGGAGTATGATTACATCGTTTATAAATAATTTTAAAAACTAAATCAGAAAGTGAAAACTAATTAAAACTAGAATCTATAAAGGATGAAAATATTCTTATTCCACCCAACTTTTGTCTCAAGACTTTATATCTTCTTCTCTGTTTTTTTGGCAAAATAAATTTATTTCAATGCTTTTCTTTACATTTCAAAATATTTTTTTTATTTTCTTTCAATTTTCTTAATTTTTTTCCTTCCATTTTTTTTCCATTTTAATTTTTATTAAAGGTAGATTCTTTTTAATGTGAGAGGAGTTTACATACTAGTATATATCATGACAAAACAAAAAAGCAACTCTATCACCACTTAGCTTTTATTTTTTTAGCACCTCATCTTGTTTCATTTTTTTATTGTTTATTCTCCTTCAGTTATCACCCAAGGCTCCCATAAAAATAAACTCCACCTAAGGCATGCACATTAATTTATTCCTCACACACACACACATATAAATAAATAAATATAAATTATGAGCACTGGCATAAGATACTCATTTAAAAAAGAATGAAGCTTTAATTTTTGTCACCTTTATCATCATGCACCAAAAGCTGTTATGCTCTTTCCCAAAATCAACTTATGCTATAATATTTCCTCAAAAAAAATGCTATACTCCATGTTCTTTAATTTTCTCTTTTTCAGAACTCATGCAGTTACATACTATAGAAAGGATGAGCTCTATCCCGAGGGTCCTTTCAGACCCAGCCGGACGAATACTGAGAGGAAGTAAATTAGACTTTGATCGCAGATTAGTGGCAAAGAGTGAAATCTGCACCTGGTACTTGCAGAGGTCCTATCGAATTCGGGTCTTACTCCCTTGGCCCTCCTTGCCTTGCTAACTGCGCAACGCCCACCGACATGCAGTCACATACTAGGGATGACAAGATGTTGGGTTCGATTTGAGTTTTAGGGTCAATTTGATACACGAAATTAACAGAATTGGAATTGAATTAGATGTGAGTTGAAATTTTATGGAATTGAATTTGATGGAATTGAATTTTCCAATTCCAATTCATTTTTGACACTACCAATTCCAAATTTACATATTTTGTGCAACCAAACAGCAAAATTAAAATTGTTCTTCGCAATTCCAATTTCATAGTTTGAATTTCGTATACCTAACGGAGCCTTGCTGTATTTAAATTTGTCCCGACTTAGTACGAATTGGGTTTAGTTTGTGCTTAACTCATAGGGCATTATTGTATTGTGGGAGGTAATTAATTAAATAATTAATAAATGAGGAGAGAATTGTTGACTAAAAATCAAAGGTCCAAGTTCAATGGCAAAAGGCAAAAAGACTATTCTCATCCTTTTGGCCACATTTCTCAATCCAAAAGACTATTCTCATCCTTTATTTTGGCCATAATTCTGCAGCTTGTGGTCAAATTTATTCATGCACAAAAGATTTATTCCCTATTAGAGTTCACGTATATATGGATAATCCAACCACGACTCATTTACTCCAAATTACTACGGGTACATTTACTTATTGAGTTTATATACAGCGGCATAGCGCAGTTAGGCGAATTCGATCCCAGGTAATTGCGCTGGGAGGCAACTATGCTAAGCATAGAGCCTCTGCAAGTACCGGGTGGAGACTCCACTCTTTACTACCAATCTGCGATTAGTCCAATTTACCTCATCTCAGTGACCGTCCGATCGAGTTTGAGGAGACCCTTGAGGATGGGGCTCATCTTTTATATATATATATATATAGGTGCTCTAGACACTATTTACAACTAGAGTGATTCTCTTAGTGCACCTTGGGTGCATATCATTTTTGTAGACTTTCTCACATAAAAAAATCTCTTTTTTTTATTTAAAAAATAAATAGAGGAAGTAATTTCTAAGAGGAGATTTTCCCACTTTAAAAATAGAGGGAGAGTTTTCGGCCAAAAATGGGGAGAAAAAGCTATAAAACTTAGGGAGTAATTTCTTTTGCATCATCATTTGTCACTTCACATTTATTTGGGGAAACACAACTCCAGTAAAATCTTGAATTTGAGCAAAATATCATAAATTATTCACTCCTCCGTAAACAAATGTCTTTTATAAAAATGTTGAATCAATCGGTTACCTGTTGTATTTATGCAATTTTGATATATACATTATTTCATATACAAGTATACACTAGTTATTGACTTTTTGATAAAAAATGTTAGGGCAATACCAAAAAGTGTATTTCTGATAGAATTTTAAATGTGCAAAGGGTTACTGGATTGAGTTATAAAACACTTAAGTTGAATCACATTAAGAAAATGAATTCAGTTGGTTATTTAGTTCAACTCAAAAACTTATATGCACACTATTTTTTTCACTTTTCCGATGTGAGATAATTAATCTTAATACTTCTCTTCAAGTAGACAATCGGATTATTTTGAATCTAATCGATTGAGCACTTGCGAATGGACTCTCCCATCCCCTTGATTTTTTTAGCTCCAACACATGAAGAGCCACGAGCCACTAAGTAAGGATTTTCAGACAAGTAATCAGGTTAAACAAGTTATAAGCCATTAATTATGCATTCCACACGGACAACTGGCTATAGACTAGGTCCGTTAGGAATAAATGTCTAGACGGATACATTGACAAACGAAGTGGGTCAAAGCCTGCTTTGATACCATGATAGAATTTTGGATGGAGAAAGAGTTACTGGATTAGGTCACAAGATATTTGAATTGAATCACATGCATCAAACGATTGATTCCAATCGGTTATTTAGCTCAATTCAAAAGCTTATACACCCATTATTTTCCCCAAAGGCAAATACAACTATGTTATATCAGTTCGAGCATATATATTATGTCTGTGTTTACCTTAGTGTATAATTGGGGTACTGTTTTCGGTGTACACTAGCATTTCAGAGACGGCCTTTCTAAAAATCAGATTGAGATACTTTATTTGAGAATAATATTTTGATTAGCGTTACTTTCTGATAAAATTTAATTCTAGAAATGTTAACAATAAAAATTTATACAAATAATCTTTTCAAAACGCTAAGTATTTGGGGTTGGCGTTGCACATTTTTTTACCACGAAAACTCAAAGACAAGACGTTAGTGACTTGATTTTAATTTTCATTTGATGGTTCATTATATATTGAGAGCCAAAAGAAAAGTAGAAGTCCACTAGTAACACCACATGCATTCTATACCAACCAAAAAAAGTTCTAGAAAAGATTTGCCACGTGTATGACGTTCCTTCCTTTTTGAAAAGTCGCCCCTCTATTTTTGCGTATTTCTAACCTGGCCCGTGTTTCTCCTGCGCTCTCATACGGAGTATAAATAAATGTACCCAATAAAACCCCCTCCTCTTCGTCGTGCACACGAGAACCCCTCCCCTCCCCTCTCCGTACACTCACAATCCGCCATTGCTGGCCTTCCCACCGGTTCGGAGAATCAAACAGGCGGGCCAGGAATTCTCTCGATTTTGCAATAGATCGGAGATCGGTTTAGTTGGTGGGAGAAGATGCCGCCGGCAGCTGGCCCCGTAGCTCATCATCAGCCTAATAATCGGCAGATGCTGATGGGGAATGTGGTGTCGCCGGTAGCGCATCCGAATCCGGCGGTGGTGTCGGATTCCTTCGCCAAGGACGCCGTTATTGCGTGGTTCCGGGGCGAGTTCGCCGCCGCGAACGCCATCATTGACGCGCTCTGCAACCACCTGACGCAGCTCGAAGGCGGCGGGGCGGGATCCGAGTACGAATCGGCGTTCACCGCAATCCACCGCAGGAGGCTCAACTGGATCCCGATTCTCCAGATGCAGAAGTACTACTCCATTGCCGACGTGGCCCTCGAGCTCCGGAAAGTTGCCGCGAGAAAAGCGGAGGCCGCCGTCGCCAGGGAGGCGGCCGTTTCCGTCGTCGCTGAAATGAACGCGGCGTTTTCACACGCTTCTCGGGAGGAAGCGGTTGAGGATACCGGAAAGGGAGGCGGCGAGGCTGCAGTTTCGGAAGATTTGGTCAGAGACGATTCACATGGTTCCCCTGAAAGTGAGATCACCGACTCAGGTAAGTTCCCTTACCATCATTATTGTTCTCCGGAGTGTGTATTCAATGCTTCATTTTTCAGAAATTTTATTCCTCTCGAAATGAATTTTGATATGATTTTTTGAATTACAGAGTATATCTTTTGCTCTTGAATAAGAAAAAAATAAAATGTTAAATTCATTTTGGAACTCTTAAAAGAAGGTAGATATGAAGTTTATTTTGAAATGATTTTTTTCCAAATTAATTGGAAAATGATACGCATTTCATTTTTCCGACTTCCGAGTTCCAAACATAACTAGAGGAATATTAAATCGTGAAATCTCTATTTATAGAAATTAGCAAAAGTAATTAATTACCGAGTACTCGTAATTAATATTGATCCCCCTTTTGTAAAAAAGTAGAATGCCTACCTCGGGCGGCCTCACACCCCGTCCGAAATGATTGTGAGGGGAGAAAATAATGAAATAATCGCAATCTGATTTTTAGAAAAGCTGTCTCGTGTCGGGTGCGCACAAAGAATTTTTAAAAATAATAGAACTTCCACGGTGCTACAACTTAAATCCGAACGCCATGTTCTTAGACCAATTGAACTATCCATATGAGGTGTGACGACCCCTTTTTAAATACAAATGGAAGAGGCTATTCCCAAATTACTGGTACAAGTCT